GCGGGACGGACCATTTCGCGCCCATGGAAAGCGCCGGCCGCCGCCGCCTTGAGGAGGCCGCCGCGCCGTCCCTTGGGTCCGCCCCCCGGGGTCCGCCCCCCCCCCCCCCGAAGGAATGTACGCACGAACGGCCGCGCAGGCCCACGCCGGCGCCGTCGGGCGCGGACGAGAAAGATCCTGTTTCCGCGAGCGCGCTCGCCAACGCCGTCGACTCGTTCCTGCAGCTCGGCGTCATCTTCGCCATGGCCTGGATCCTGCGGTGCGTCGTTCGACCTTTTTTTGCCCGTTCACGCGCGAAACCTCGCAGGCTCCTGCTCGAGATGACGCGCGTGCACCTCGACGAGGAGCCCGTCGTCCGCAAAAAGAAGGACGCGTTCACGCGCGAGGGCCAAAAGTGGTCCTGGGACTTCGCGCTCCTCGTGCCCGTGCGCGACGAGGACGCGCTGCGGGAGACGAAGAAGCGGCCGACGTCGCTCCTCGGCAAGGAGGTCGACGGCGCGGGGCACACGCTCGCGAAGATCGTCGCCGCGATCCGCGGCGCGGGCCTCGAGACGTGCTGCTACAAGTCGCAGAAGTTCGACCAGGTCGTCGTCAAGGTGCGCGCCTCCGCCGCGCGCCTCGGCCGCCACGCCGACGCGACGAACTTCCGCATGCGCCTCGCGCCCGCGGAGGTGTCGCGGCGCCTCGCCGAGGGCCTCGCCGACGCGGTCGACGTCGACGACTACGTCGTCTACCCGCGGCGCAACGGCTGGCGCTACCGCGGCGTCGAGATGGACACGGCCATCGTCGACGCCGAGGGCCTGTGCCCGCTCTACGGCTCCAGCGAGCACATGTTCGGCGAGTTCCGCGACGACCCGGACGACGCCGCGCTCTACGCGAAGAACGCGCGGTCCGAGAGCCCCTTCCGCGGCGTCGACCGCGTCAAGCTCATCATGTCCGTGCTGACGCACCCGGTCCGCGACGGCGGCGCGGGGCTGCCCCTCGAGAAGCTCGTCGCCGCGGAGGTCGTGTCCGCGGCGTTCCCGCTCCGCGCCGCGCGGAACTCAAATCTTCAATGTGCGCGTCATCGAACGATTCGGACGAGCCTCTTCGGCCGTGCTTCGAGAGTTCGACGGGAGCCATCGATTCGTCCGAAAATCAGCCAAATCGACTTCGACGTGACCGAGCTCGAGAATTTCAAAGTTTGGTCGGGACGTCCCGAACCGGCGGTTGATTTCCACGCAGGCTCCACGACTGGAGCGAGCTCAAGCAGGTCGAGGCCAAGTGGCTCGTCTACTGGGCCTGGCCCTGGAACATGCCCCTGGACCGCATCGCCGACTACTACGGCGAGAAGGTCGGCTTCTACTTCCTCTTCCTCTCCCACTACGCGACGCACTGTGTGGAAAGCAACCGCTGGTTTGGGGGGTCCCCACCGCGCATTGAATTCGCGTCGAAGATTTGAGTTCCACGCAGGCGACGTACTTCATGATCGCCGCGGTGGCGGGCTTCGCGGTCCAGGTCGACATTTCGGTGTCGGTCAACTTACAGAACGCCGAGTCCGTGCCCTACTTCTGCCTCTTCATGGCGCTCTGGTCCAGCGCCTTCATCGCCCAGTGGAAGCGGACCCAGAGCCGCTGGGCCATGCGCTGGGGCATGGTCGGCTTCGAGGAGGTGGAGACGGACCGGCCCGAGTTCGCGGCGGACCCCCAGACGGCGCTGATCCACTCGCCCGTCGACGGCGAGCTCACGACCTACTTCCCGCCGGCCGTCGCGGCGCGCCGCGCGCGATGGTCCGGCGCGATCATCGCGGTCTGCGGCGCGGCGTCGCTCGGCGTCGTCTACTGCCTCTTCATCCTCAACGTGCTCATGAAGTACCCGACATGGGAGCATCGCCTGACGCCGTCGACGTGGCTCAAGAACGTGCCCGGCATTCCCCAGGCGTCCATCCGGCCGACGGTCATCGGCATCGCGAACACGGCGCAGATCATGGTCATGGAGTACGCGTACCGGTCCGTCGCCGTCGCGCTCAACGACGCCGAGGGCCACCGCACGGACACGGCCTACGAGGACGCGCTCATCGCCAAGACCTTCATCTTCACCTTCGTCAACGCCTACACGACCTTCTTCTACACGGCCTTCGTGAAGCAGTTCCAGGCGCAGGTGGAGGGTATGACCATGAAGATCGGGCGGCCGCGGCTCTACGAGTGCGAGCCGCAGGTCGCGAGCGGCCGGTCGGACTGCATGCTGGACCTGAAGACCCAGCTGAGCTCCATCTTCGTGTCGCGCGTGCTCATCTCCAACGTCAAGGAGGTGCTCGTGCCCTACTACTTCTGGGCCGCGAAGCGGCTCCGGTCCAAGGAGCGCGCGTACCTCGACGACCTCGCGGCCGCCAAGCAGGGCGACGCGCCCGGGGAGCTCGCCGAGGGGCCGGGCGGCGACGACCCGAAGCGGCCGGGCCGCTTCGCGCGGCTCCGGGGCCGCTTCCGGCGGCGGCGCGACCCCGCGGCGCCGGCCGAGGAGGCCAAGGACGACGCCGCCGCGGCGGAGGCGCCGCCGGAGCCGCTCGCGGACCGCGCGCTGACGCCGCCGGAGGTCGAGGCGGCCCTCGAGGAGTACGACGTCATGATCGGGCCCTTCGACGACTACGCGGAGCTCGTCATCATCTTCGGCTTCGGCGTGCTCTTCGTCGCCGCGTTCCCGCTCGCGCCGCTCATGGCGTCCGTGAACTCCTACGTCAAGATCCGCGTCAACGGCTGGCGCATCTCGCAGCGGCACCGGCGGCCCTGGCCCCGGGGCGCCGAGGACATCGGCACCTGGGGCACGATCATCGAGCTCCTGTCCTACCTCTCCGTGATCACGAACGGTTTGATGATCGTCTTCACGGGCCTCTTCGTCGAGAACGCGCGGGTCGCGACGAAGATCCTCTACTACCTCCTCTACACGCACGGCGTCTTCCTCGCCAAGTTCCTCGTCGCGCTCGTCGTCAACGACGTGCCCCACGACGTGGCCATCATGGTCGAGCGCCAAAAGTTCACGGAGTCGAAGCTCATCACGCGGCTGCCGGACGTGACGCCGAACGTCCAGGGCGTGTCCGACGCGGTCAACGTCGACCTCACCATCCAGGACGAGGACACGGACGAGGTCTACCTCGACGTGCCGGGCTACGCCCACTACGTCGCCTCGCTCCCCGCGCCGCCGCTGCGGCCGCGGCGGCCGCCGACGGCGCGCGAGGCGCCGACGCCGCTCGTCGACCGCGAGGCGCCGACGGCCTACGACGACGACGACGACTGGGACAAGGCGGTCTAAGGCGTTCTGGACGTTTAAGGCGGGGCGGGGACGAACGCGCGGGGGTTCTCGTCGGCGAGCGCGGCGCTCCCGCGAACGGAGGCGGCGGTCGTCGTCCCGGCGCCGTCCTCGCGAGCGCCGCCCGCGCCGCGCCGCGAACTAGTTCGGCAGGGGCTCGTGGAGGTGCGCGTTGCCGCCGTCGCGAGTCCGTTGCCGGCGGTCGCGGCCGCCGCGCGCGCCCTCCGGCCTCTCGAGGGCCTCGTGCACGGCGGCCTTCGCGAGCTCCCGGACCGCGGCGAGGGATTCCGCTTCGCGGAGCGTCCGCGCGAACTTTTGTTCTTCGATGATGTCCATGCCCTTGTTGATGCCGGCGACGAGACACACCAGGAGGAGTAGCGCGGCGCCCAGGCGCGCCAAAAGTGAGGACGAAGGCGGTGTGGTCATTGTGGTGTACTACGTCTGGGGCTGGTGGAAGACGGACGTTTTTTGCCGTTCGGGTCGTTAGCTCGTCGACGGCCGCGCGAACTCTCGATGAGGGCCACTGTGGTAAAACCCTGGCGAGTCGGTGGCGCACTTGGCGAGAGCCGCGACTCATTGCGGTCGGGGCCCGGGGTCGCTGGTGCGCGAGTCGCTTCAAACCCGCTTCATGCGGTCGTCGTCGCTGCGCACGCGCGCTTATCGCGCCGTCGTCGACGAAGCGAATTCGAAGTTCGACGCCGCCGTCGAGGAGGCGATCAGTGCGACCGGGGCCCCCGAGGCGGCGCGATGCTACATTTGTTTGGACGGCGGCGATCTCGTTCGGGGCTGCGCGTGCCGCGGGCCTGACCAAGGCTTCGCGCACGTCGGCTGTTTGGTTCAGCTGGCCGAGGCCGCGGAGGCGCGCGCGAACGATCGGA